AATGATGTGCTACGTGACCGCTAGCTACACAGCTATGTTAGCATAGCATAAACAGTGAAGCTGGAGGATGAACGCTAACTTTTTTCCACTCGATAAAAGTTAACGCGAGGGTTCCTGATGGTCAGGGACAAATGCAATTGCATGGCAGTCAGGAGAACAACTGAGATAATCCATCCACAATACGAGGTTAGTCATTAATATACTGAAACAACATGGGAATAGAGCAGCTGTGAGAGAATTCAGCATTAATGAATCAATAGTACTGAAGTGGAAGAAGCAAGAAGAATGAGCTGAGTAAAGTTTGACTTATCTGACGGTTTTGTTTCGCTTAATGTGCCTTATGGTCCGAAAAATACTGTACGATGTCAGATATAAGTGTTGTCCAATGAACTCTGTGGTTCACTGTACGTGCTCGAACACTCAAAGCTAAAAGTAACTGGAACAAAGATTGTAAAAACACTAAGAACACAAATAAAATACATTTATTTTAGTGTCTTTAGATTTTTAACTGTATGATTGTATTTTTTCTGTACAACATTAAAAACATGTCTAATGTCAAACCAATCTCCTGGTCTGTGTGGCAGCTGTGATACAATACTGTACTATGTTATGTGTCTTTTTAAAATGTATTTATTTATTTAGTTTTTTCTTAGTTGTGGGTCTCTTGGGAGAGATTATCATCTCAGTGAGACAGCCTGATTTAATAAAGCAGGAGCAAAAATGAAATAATGTAAAATTGAAATGACAAGCAGAGCCACATCTTTATCTGTTTGTAAGTGCTGTTTTATCTCACAAGTTCCCCTTTTTGCTTCTCCTACAGGAACAACTTCCAGATCTGTGGTCCCACTTCCAAAACCTGAACCTGGAGGCACACATGTACGCCTCCCAGTGGTTCCTAACGCTCTTCACCGCCAAATTCCCCCTGTGCATGGTGTTTCACATCACTGACCTGCTGCTCTGCGAGGTAACGTCAGTGCACTTGTTATACTGATTACATGGGGAGAGGGCTTTAGTCTACATTGTCCAGAGTCCAGTAAGGCGATGCTCAACTGTCTGGAAACAGGAAATCAGTTGAAAGTGGATAGAAAGGAGGTTACGAGGGGTCAGGAGAAGGGTGTTAGAGGAGAGGGTTGGATGTCCACAAAGACGGCTGAAAACAGCTCTTCTAAAAATGCCTGGCTTCACTGCTGTGATGTGGAAAATGCTGCAAGTTCTGCTAGCTGCTAGCTCCACAGAAATATATTCCTCCAAGCAGTTTTTATTACCCGTCAGCCTGAAGACCGGCAGGTGTGTTGTCAGATAATACCCGTCCATCCATCCATCCATTCGCTTCCGCTTATCCTTTTCAGGGTCGCGGGGGGCGCTGGAGCCTATCCCAGCTGTCATAGGGCGAGAGGCGGGGTACACCCTGGACAGGTCGCCAGTCTGTCGCAGGGCCAACACACAGGGACAGACAACCATTCACACTCACATTCACTCACACATTCACACCTAGTGGCAATTTGGATTTTCCAATTAACCTATCCCCACATGCTGCATGTCTTTGGACGGTGCACCTTGATGCTTCCTTTAAACTGTGTGAACCAAGGTAAAGCCACACCTTCCAGCTGATGTCTTTGGACGTGTTATTCATGTGTTCATTACTTGCCGACTGGACTACTGCAGTTCTCTGTATCTGGTTTGGACCAGGCCTCTCTTTACCGTCTCCAGTTGGTCCAAAATGCAGCTGCTCGTCTGCGACTGGCGCTAAACCGAAGGAGCCTGTAACCCCGGTGTTGGCCTCTCCACACTGACTTCCTGTTCTTTACACGATCCAATTTAAAATCGTAGTTTTTGTTTTAAAATCACTGAACGGCCGAGCCCCTTCTCACCGGTCTGAGCTCCTGTTTGTTTGTCCAAACCAACCTTACCTGTTCCACGGCCTTCTCTGTGGCCCAGACTCTGGAATAGTCTTCCTCCTGATATTACATCTGCACAAAAAAAGCTTTGGCACATGGACAAAGATCCCTGAGATATCTAGTGAAGCCAAATAATTGACAGTTCATTGTGATATGTGTAGAGATGATTTTGTACAAACGGGGTAAGAAGACATTTTCATCCAATACTAAGAGGATATGACATACGGGGGGAAAAAAAGGTGCAACATCTTAATGATATAAAAAATAAATCACCTTTCTGTCTCGCAGATCTGCTTTTAACTCACGCTGACCTAAACAGTTTGGTTTTCGCAGCTTTGTTTTAGTTATTTTATTCATTTTTCTATATTTTGCTGCATCATTGTTGTGCATTTTATTTATTGTAGTGGCATTTTACATTGTTAAGCACTTTGTGCAGCATGTGCTGCAAGAGTCACACGATGTTGCCGAGCTACTGGTGCTTTTACCGCGGTGCAAATCCAAATCCGTTTCCACGAGCCCTTCTGGAATGTGGAAGGAGACTAGAGTAGTGAGGGAGGAGTCGGCGAGCCCAAACTGCACTTCCCGGTTATCAGTGGCCACAAGTAAAGGGCACACAGCATCGATGCTTCTGCTCAGGCCTTTTAGGGTCGATGCTATCAATGATCTAATATCATCAGGGCCACCTGACCTAATACCGATCGATGAGCGAGTCACTTATCATCGTACAAAATCTGCGTGACAGAAGAAGCGTTATTCCCAGAAATAACGGGCATCACTGAGGAGCTTTATATGATACATTACAGACATGTATATATCGAAAAATATATATTTCAGATTTGAGTTGACGACAAAACCCACACCCTCCCAAACAGTCTTGGATGTGGTTCTATAGTACAATATAATCCCGTGTCGTCTCATGGCACTATACATGGTAAGTTAAGGATGGCGATTTCACCCCTGAGAATGCACTTGGCATCGGCGGGGAGGAGAAGCTCCCTTTTACAGAAGGAACCCCTGACACAACCAGGCTAAGGTTGGGCGGCCATCTGCCTCGACTGGCTGAGTGAGAGGAAAGCTGAGAGAGAGAAGCGGAGCGCTGAGCATCAACAAACAGTGAACAGACTTGTGGGCCAGTATCCATAGATCAGACACATTCAGCTCTGGAGAGAAACTAGGAAACTGAGACGAAGAGAGGGGATAATGTGCTGTTCTGTTCAGTGTTTCAGTCATTTACACAAAATATCTGAATACCAGAAAGACAAATATTGGGCAAAGTACTACACGTTGGCCCCCCAGGGGATCTTGTGGGCGGTGTAGCAGGACTACGTGGCCAACAGCGGTGGGTCATTGTTATGAACTTTAACAGAGCGTGTTCCCGTCCTTGGCAAAAAGTCAAATCGGTTTTCAGCGGGTCGTGGACTCTAGAGTTTCGTGTCATCTCCTGTTTGTGATGATGTTCTTTAAGCTTCATCAGAACATGGCCCTCCACGTACACTGAGGTGGTTTGCAGCTGAGGGTGAACAAACGATACAGGTTAGGACCTCAACCCCAACCCCCGGGCCATGGACCGGTACTGGTCCATTTAAAAAAAAAAAAATAAATAAAATTCGTTTTTATCGTTAACTCTGTTTCCCTGGGTCTTTTCCGTGTTGTAGTTGTGCGTCTTATTTTGAAAGAAATATTTACACGTTACCATAGTGACCAGAGAGCGTTAAGGGGCAGAGAGGAGGATGTTACTCTCAATGTAGGGCTGTCACGATTAGTCGACTAGTCACGATTACGTCGACTATCAAAATCGTCGACGACTGATTTAATAGTCGACGCGTCGTTTGAAGCTTTGTAAGATC